TTTCTGAATGTTTCTAATTCTGGAGTAGTATTTTCTATTAATTTTGGATAAAAAATAAAAGCTCAATAGCACGTGGAAATAGAGAAATCCCCCATCTTCCTGATATATTTGTAAAAACCGGGATTTTAAAGAAATCCTACAAAAGTTTTAGCATGTATTAGTATTAGTATTAGTATTAGTATTAGTATTAGTATATTAGTATTAGTATTAGTATTAGATTAGTATTAGTATATTAGTATTAGTAGTATTAGTAGCATTAGTAGTCGATTAATTAGTCAACTAAAATAGTCGACTTAATAGTAATAGTAATAGTAAACTAAAATAGTCGACTAAATAATCAGCTAAAATAGTTGACTATTACTATTTAGTCGACCAAGATAATCGTTTATTAGTTGTCCAAAAAAAAAATTTAGTCGACTATTTTAGTCGATTAAATTATAATTAGTATTAGTCAACTATTTTAGTTGATTGATTCCAACCTCTAATCCTATACTTTTAAAATTGGCACTTTTATTAGGGAAGTATTGGAAAAGGAATTAGGCGAGGAACAATTAAAACAGCAACTCATTAAAGGTTATCAAGCCCAAGCCAAAAGTAAAAACCTACAAAAGGAGTTTCAGGAGGTTTCACATCTGACTAATTTTTTTAATAGGTTATGTTTCGACAAGAACTCATTAATTTATTGAAAATGGCAACCAATTGTTTAGAAAACATGTTAAAACATTGTTATGCCATTTTGTATTTTTATTCAGAAGCAAGCTATTATATTTATATTATACAATTTAATTTTTAAAGTGTTAATTGATCGAATAATAATAATTATTATTATTATTATTATTATTCATAACATATTGATATTTTCACTTAGAAAGATTTCTAATACTTTCAATGCCTCATCTCCTAATCCAAGGAAAATGACATTCTTACAAATCTATATTTTTTTTTTATTTTTTATTTTTTTGGTAAAAAAATTAAATTTAATTAATTTGAAAAATTTTTACACAATCCACATAAAAGTAATTACCTCTTCGAAATTATTTTTATTCATGGCCGATAACCAGATTTGATCGTTATGAGTATACAACCAATTGATTATTAGTTCAATGGTGGAAATTGATGGAATTGGAATTGTGACTCTTGTTAAATAATATTTGTTGGACCGAATTGGACAATGGAATATTGATGATGAAATATGATAAAATATCTTTGAAAACAATTCGCTCTGGCATGACAAATAATTACCATATCCAATCATCTCCAAATTATTATACTTTGATGACGATGAAGTGGAAGCTGCTGGAAGTGAATTTTCGAATTGATGTTGACGTTGTAGACAATAATTATAATGATTATTATTATCGTTATTAATATGATCCATCAATTCCCATAAATATATCTTATTTCCAGAAGAATTTTCATTCGTGTTGCTAAAATTATTACTAATAAAGTTATTATTAAGATGACAATTATTCCATTCAGCAAAACTGACAAATTTGAGAATTGTACATTGTTTAAATATTTGTACACCAATTGTATTCATCTGACTAAGTAATTGATAAAACATTGGTATCGATAAGTCTCTTGGAAAATCTACTTCAATAATATCTGTGATACGATCACTTGGCAACGATAATTTTTGATTGATAAATTGAAGATATTTAGACATAATTATTCCGCTCAACTCCTCTTTCTCTTTAGAATTGGTAAAGGGCGAATTGGAAGAATTGGAGCAAGGTGATGATGTTAAGGATAAAGAGGAAAATCCAGTGTACAATGATGACGAGAAATCCGAAGTTGGAGTTGACGAAAAGGATTCTAAGGAATCTGAAAGTACTGGTGAACTTGATGGTGTGGAAGGAGAATGATCATCATTAATATTTAATTCGATTTTTGGTGAACATAAATCATCAGACTCAAATGTCGCAGATGATGAAAAAAATGGATTTTGACTTCTATCGGAATATTCCATTTTCCAGAGAAAGATATTATTTTTGAAGGATTTTTTATTTTGAAAAATAAAGAAAATTATATGGCATGCGTATAGATTTAATATGATTTTTTATAAGCTCAGGAGAAACTTTTTTTTTTTTTTGATGAGTTAAGAGTGACGAAATTTGATATCTTGATTCATTTGATCGGTATTGAAAAATACATATTTTTTAAACCCGTCGCATGTTGGTACCCCACGATAACACATAATTTGACCATCTTTAAAGCTTAATAAGGGAGCATCAAGTGTTTATCTGACCAATTCTATATAGTCGAGTTATAAGCTTTTAAAAATCATGTGATTTTTATATGATATATAAAATTTTCTTTGAAACATGAATTTAGTGAAGCATACCAGTAAATTTGGATATTTAATATTAATAAATATCCGTATTAATAATGATTTTATACTAATACTAAACTTTATCCAAACCGGAGCTTAATCCATATTTCATTATTTAATAATGTCAAAAATTCAACAGAATTTCCAAAAAAGATTATTATCTCATGATTCATAATTAAATTATGTTAATACTAAAGTGGTATTTATTTATTTATATGTTATGGAGTCATATGTTTATGAAACCAATATAAATTTCAATTAATAATAGTGATGAAAATCTCGGATTATTAAAAACTCATTCATAATGTCCATTCAGAAATTGTATATAACCTTTCTCCAACTACAAATAATGTAATGCATAAATTCTTCATGTGTATTTATTATAATAATAATAATAAATGAATCATTAAATAGATATGGTATTTCAGATTCATCTGACACAACATTAATAATTAAAGTTGGTGAAGATCCAGATAATGTACATGCATACTTGATAATAGTAATAAATAACTGTAATTAATTATGTAAATTGTTTTATTAGGTAAATCTCACTTGTCAAAATTAATTGAAGAAAATCTTCATTAGAAGAGATTTCTAAATTTACAGATTTTAGCTCAGTGTGTTGCAAAAAAAACCGGAAATTTATTTTTATTGGTTTCTCAGTAATAGTTGAATAAAAACATTAAAAGAAAGCTGAAACAGAGGTTCCTATTGGTATAAAAGTTATTTTAATTGCTTTCAATGTTAAGCAATAGTTTTAAAATTTTGGGCATGGGCACCGGTTCCTAATAAAAAAAAGCTGGGTACTTGGGTGGGCATTGGCTCTGGCACGGTGACAATGGTGCCTGACATAGAACCTATTACATGTTTATACAAACAGTATTTTAACTAGCAAAGAAATATTACTTTATTTCGGTTAAGAAATACGATTTATTAAAGTATACTACTTTGTTTCTGGCAGATCGTTAGGACTAGATTTTTTCTAAATTTCTTTTAAGCCATGAATGCACATATTTTTTAAAATGTGCTTTGCTAGTATTGTTCGAGTATTGTTTCTTTCAACGATGCAGACATTGCCAAACATTTTGATTATCATGCAACACATTTATCCAATGTTTCTTTGGTACTATATGATTATTATCTTTTTTGTGATACTATTCTCTAGTGAGTTATTTGAAATAGAGTCGTCATAATATATTGTTGTCAAATATTCCATCAGAAAGCAAACACAATAGTGAAATGCGAACACAAATGTGGAATGTAAACACGAAAGTGGAATAGGTGGACACAAAGGTAGCGAAATTTAAGTCTCATTTGTAAGTGTCCTGTAATTTATAAATATTTTATTATATAACAGAGTTCTATTTAAACTATTTATCTCCCCATTTTGCAAAAGTATACTAAAAATGTCATAAGCTCATAAAAATATCCAGCGGGCAGGCAATGTCACAGGGTAGAAGCATCGGTGCCAAATAAAAAAAAGACGGGCACTTGGGCAATAGCACTAGTGCCCAGCGTGTTGCCATTGGTTCCCGGCATGGGAACTCTAATAAATACCAAACTGTGTGCTATAGTAACTTTGTTATTGGGTCAATATGCTTTAAAAAAAAAACTCGTAATTACATCAAAAACAGTTTCTATAAACTTAACATCTTTTATTTTAACTGTAGCTGTTCTATTTCCGGAGTCTTGGTCATTTAAAAATCTCCATCAATTCTATGAATAATGCCACGTCTTAAACAACTAGATGGAGAGAATAATGATAGGTAACAATATGGAGATTTTGATCCCAAAATATTCTTTAGAATTCCTGTATGTAAAAGCTTAATGAATGATCTTTTAACACCCAATCACGTGTGTAAATTTTTTAATTATGCAATCTTATTTTATTCGTCGATTATTAAAAGTATGCGACAATAATGTAAGTCAAGCAAAACAAGAGTTACGATGGATTACTCAACATGTGTTAAATCAAACAAAAAATAATTATTATAATTGCAATAATATTCAACAACTTGATGAAAAGGAAAAACAAACTATAGCATTGATGGTTAATGATCGAGTAGAAAAATATAAACCATTACAATATATTCTTGGCACACAACCATTTTGTGATTTAGAAATAATTACAAAACCACCAGTTTTAATTCCAAGGTTGGATTTTTTTTTTTTAGTTGCTTATTTTTGCACTTAAAGAAAGTTTTTTAATATATATATAAATATGTCGAGAGTAGATGGGAAACAGAAGAATGGACAAACAGACTAATAACAAAAATAAATTCAAGAATATTCTCAAAAAATCAAAAAGGAATCAAGAACAATAACGATATTAATAGAAATGGTTATTTGGATAGAGCAGAAGGAAAACAAATAGAGATTCTTGATATTTGTACAGGATCAGGATGTATTGCATTAGCATTGGCATCTAATTTACCAGATAATACATGTAAAGTTTATGGAATTGATTTGTCAGTTGAAGCGTTGGAGCTCGCAAATTTAAACCTTCGACAACAACAACAATTGAAAAATTTTGTTGATTTTTCTAAATTAGATATTTTAAATGATGAAGACGAAAAGATTAAAAGATTTGTGAAAGAAAAAAGTCTTAATGGACTAGGATTTAATTTGATAGTTAGCAATCCACCATATATAACTTATGAAGAATATGAGGATTTAATTCCGGATGTAAAATTGTGGGAAGATAAAATTGCTCTAGTGGCAGATGACCAAGGAACTCAATTTCATAATAAAATAATTTATTTGGCTAGCAAATTATTGATAAATAGTGATGATAATAATGATGATGATGATGATGATGATAATAATAATAATAATAATAATAATAATAATAATAATAATAATAATAATAATAATAGTGATGGTGAATTATTATTACCTCAACTTGTGATGGAAATTGGTGGAAAACATCAGGTTACTAAAATTATTGATGAATTGAATAAAAATGGTTTCAGATGGTATGAAGTTTGGAAAGATTCTAGAGGTATTGATAGATGTGTTGCTGCAAGGTTACAGTAGTAGTATTTATTTTACTTTTGATCCTAAGTAATTAGAATAAATCAAATGATAGTTAATACCCAAATAAAATAATTTTAAGTTATATGATAATTAAATTATTACATACGTAAATCTTGAAATCTTTTCTCTCTAAGACTATCAATAGATATCAATTTATCACATATATTTATTATTTCAGTATCATTATTATGTGATTCTTCTGAATTCATATTTGAAATACACTTTAATTCACGTAAAAAATTTGCTAAGGTTTGTAAACACCCTAAAAATAAAATACAAATGTAAATATTTATTTACAAATGTCTATAAATAACGGTCTTGAACATTATTATTAAATATTTTACTTGCATTTGCTATTTGGTTCAATTTCTAATAATTCTCTTATTGATAATATTTCACGCTCCAATAATTTAATTTTTTCTAAATTTGATAATGTAATTAATTTTAAAGATGTTGATGGTGATGACGATGATGATTCATTTTGAATTGGATCTTTTGAACCATCAAAACTTGAAGTAGTCTTAATTTCTAAAATTTATATAACAGCATTAATCATAGTTGTAATAAAAATAATAACAATAGTTGCAATGATAAAGATCCTAACCTCCGCCAACCAACCACCAATAATATAACCAAGCACTTTGGTCATCTGGATCTGTATAAAATGCTGACTTGACCAGATCAAATTCTTTTCAAATTATTTTTATAAATTAATCAATATATATATATGTATATACCAATAATAATGTTAATTATTACTAATCAATTATTACCTTTATCAATAAATGTTTTGATTTCTTCTGAATTGTAATTCCTTTCTTCAATCAAAAGTGGTAAAAGCTTGCTTCTCTGATGCCATGCTGAGTAATTGGAAAAATTTTGATTTATTTTCACTGTGGTAAAATCAAATTCTGATTCGATGATTGACTTGGAATCATCAACTGTAGATGATAATTTTGATGTGACGTATCTTCTATAATCCCATCCATGAACTATTCAAACATGTATTATATTAAATATTAGATGATATTATTATTATCACTTTTATAATTAATTACTTACAATTTCTTGAATCCATATCAAGAATTCGACCAACAATTTTCAACTCTCTCTCCCAATTAGGATTTGACATTGTTTCAAGACACCATCTACGATGATTAAATATCCAGTAAGATTTTGGATTTAATTGAAAGATTTCTTGTAAGAATCCTAACTCTGATTCTAAATGTTTTTGTATTTCTTCATTTGTACTGTCCAAAACAAAACAATTACTATTAACATTATAATTATAATTATAATTATAATTATAATTATAGTTACCAGCTAACAAATACTCCTTTTAACAATATTGTTCTTCTAAAATTCCAAATGCTATAAAAATCTGGATTTTGTGATAAGATCATAGTTGTTATATTTATTGCATCTTGATCATATTCTAATTTATCTCTCTATTAATAAATAAAAATAATTGTTAATTTAATAATCTCTTTTAATTACAAAGAAAAAAAAATATCAACCTTATCAAAGCATTTCTTTACTAATTCATTATATTCTTTGATTTTATTTGCTTCTTTTTCTCTTCTAATCCTTTCAATTTCTGCTGATGGTTTTACTCGTCTACGACCATGCTAATAAAAAAAAAAATATAATTTTAAATCGAATTATCTGTCTTTTTAAATATTTTTTAAAAAATAAATTATATAAAAAAATACCATTATTTTATTAATTGGAAAAACTCGATTTTTTTAAATCGTGTAACGTTTTTTGTTACGGGCTGGATGGCCGCAGCCGCTCGCCACACAGGATCTCATTTTTGATTTTTCCAGATTTGTTGTTGCCAGTTTGCATTTAATGAAATTTTTTACCAAGGCATATTGAGTATCCATCTTCCCTATAAAAAAAAGAGTTTAAGTGGGACCAGTAAGGCGTTTAATTGGATCGGTCGATTTTCTGCGGATTATCCATCATAGTATCGTTTGAAAATTGAAAATAATTTGTGATGTTAATAATAATGATAAATTTTGTATGAAAGAATACGACATATTACTGATTTCAAGCATGTGATCCACACAATGTAATGAAACAATTGATGAATTAGTTGAGAGCACAACCTAAAGCACTATAGGTATCTTCAATGTACTTTTTATAATAAGTTTATGAATATTGAAAAGATGTGAATGTGGCCTTGCGATTGTATACAAAGATATGTGAATAAATGACTAGATAGGATTTTTGCATTAAAAAGTTGCACAGTATTCAAATGAGATAGTGTTTACTTAAAAATATAGCACTAGTATCAATTAAATTAAATATTTAACTTTTTTTAGCTTAAAAGGTAATGTTAAACATCATAATAGTTTCGTGTTTGTATTGCAATCAATATATGTAAGATGAAACTCCTCATTATTGTTTATTCGAAAGTTTACAATAGCACGAACTAAACATTATTAATAGTAGTAATATTCTTCGCCAAAAAGATGATACTGGTGGTTCTTCATTAATCACAGACCTAGAATTATGATTCAATTCAACTTCGGGAAATTCTCTCACTTTTGTTACACATTTGGAACTGTGATGATTTTGATCTTCCATAGGTGAGATGACTATCCTTCCGGGTTTAATGTAGAATAAGCAAATATATTGTGCGCTAACTTCCTACAATTGTGTAAGATATAATTACTGTTGTAATAATTAATTTATTTTAATTTACTTGAATTCTAGTAAAGGAAAATATTTGATGAGATGATGTTCTTGTTTGATTAATCTTTGAAAATAAACATATACAAGTGTGAGGCTCCGAACAGACCCAAATTTTAAAGAAACCTGATATTGATCTGAAATTCGGTCTGGTCAAAATACATGAAAATAAATTATACAATGACATTAACACTTTTGAAACTGTTAACAATCTTTCAAAACTGTTGGCATTTTGAAACTAATTATCCACATGGACTATACCATGTAAATAGAAATTAAAGTTCATATAAGAAGGGTTTTGGTGGGAATAAAGTTCAGTTTCGGATTAATACAAGAATCTACTCTTAGATGGAAAATTTTATTATTATGCAGTAATTCTTACACCGATTTGTCATCATACAAACCAACAAATGATAATAAATTATGTAGACAGCACTTAATGCTTTGAAAATTTTCTCAATCAAAAGATATGTTTCATCTATTTCAGTATTACATGCAAGTTAATTCTAATTTACACTGTATAAATTGGCTCACTACGACATTAGTTGGAATAATATCTTGGCTAGAGGTTCAGATCGAAAATAAAAGTGATATTGGAATATTCACTTCGAATAATATTAATAATTCGAAATATTTAAGACCTTGCCTGCAATTATTCACACGAATATATCTCTTTTTACTCTATACATTTTGTTTGTTAATGAACTTCAATTTAAAATCTTTCTTGACGGATGGCAACTAGTAACGGTACAATGATGGTGAAGATAATTCGGCTGATACTCCTTCAAATAAATAAAGGTCAGACCAATCAAAGGATAGATTTGTTTGGAGGAACTTCTAAATGGGTTATGCAATAAAAATTGACTAGCAATTGTATATTTCATTTATTACATGTACATGGTATTCTTCAACCAAATGAGAAGTAAAAGTAAATATTTTGTAATTAGATGATTCAAACTAGCATATCCAATATTTATTAAAAAATTTATAGTTAGAATTAAAAAGCAAACAGATATTTGTGACTTTTCTTTATGGTTGTTCGAAATATCTATACTATTCGAAATTCATCCATTACTGAAAGCCAACAGATGTATTATAATTTTTATTTATTTAAAAAGGGGGTCAATGAACGGAAACACTAATCTTGGCATATAAAAAGAAATGGTTGTAACAAATTATGAGCACTCGGGACGTATCAAATGGAATATATATAGTAAAAGATGTGATATTTATTTGGTTGGAACACTATTTGACAACTTTTGACAAAAAGGTACAAATTGTGAAGAAGCCTTAAAGTGTAATGAGTTTGTTTAAAGATAGCATTGTAATGTTAGTAGTAGCAATAATCACAACAATAGAGATTCATCAATGAATTTGCTTGAATAAATCAATTTTTTATAAAAGGTAATATAAAAGTTCACAACTATTCATCAGTTAAAAGCATATTGTAATTATGTCAAGATTAGAAAGCAAAAAATTCATGAAAATAATATTTTTGGTATGCCTTCATGTTGTGAGAATTTGCAAATTCATTAATCATTTCTGCTTTACGTCACAACGGTTTGAAGAAACTTGCATGCCTACTTACTGCCATTATGGAAAATCAAGATGCCATTAAAACGCATTATATACAAATTGGGTATTTATCGAATTATCCCCTACACAAAAGTTTGTCCATTTGTAAATAAATGTATTGAAAACCATATAAATCCAGCTAATTTTTACTAAAAAATTTTACCAGCATGTCACAATGTCAAATAGCTTCCCAAAAGTGCATAGTTCTGCAAGTAATATCCAAGAATTATTTAGTTCAAAATTTCATTTATTGATTGGTTGATTTAAATTTCTCATGTCAATTAATATTAGACGAAGAAATTTGAGATGAGTCGATTAATATTAGTAGTACCATCTATTTTGAGTTTGTGTGATCAGGCACAAACTTAATTGTTTCGTTTTATTCATTGGTTGATTGATTTCATTTCATAATAGTGCGCAAATAGGAATATTTTGTCAAAAACTTTGTCTGGTAATAAATTGGTTTTGCACCATAGATACTGAAGTGCTCTCGAAATATACTTAAAATGTACATGAATTTTCTAAAAATACTTGAAACATCATACTAGAAACATACCTGGGAAAAAACCAAGTATATTTTAAGTATGTTGAAAAGTATGTTGAAAAGTTATTTTTAAGTATAATTTCATACACTTACAATGTACTTAAAATTCACTTAAATATTCTTATTTTTTCCACCGGTATATTTTAAATGTGTTTTGGTTGTATTTTAGGTGTATATATATAAGGTATGTTTTGAGTGTATTTTAAGTATCTAAACCTTTTGTAAGGTCTCTTTAATAGATGAAATCTAGCTGATAGTATTCTTGCCGATGAATATAAATAATATTTATTATATTTATTATTATTATGATAAAGCTATCTTGATAGGTGGCGAAGATAATATGACTTTGTTGTTGAAGAATAATACAGAACACTTGTGAATAGTCATTGATTGATAATCCGTTTATGAATGAAAGAGCTTGCTGCGGAAACAATTATTTCTACGCTCTCAAAGTAAAAAAATTTTTCCAATCAGAAAAAACCACACGAAAAAAAAATATATGCGGTGAGACGACAGTTTTTCATGCATGCATGCAAAGGTCATATGCGAATCATTGGATATTAATAATTAATATTGATTTGCCTCTTTCTGATTTTCTAACAAAAATCCAAAGGATCATCATAACTATATTAATATTAATACATTAACTTTAAATTAATTTCTCCCCGATTAAATATTATTATTATTATGGTGCGTGCACAGTGTATATAGAAAATTCAATGTCCGGGTGTAACATTACACACCAATCAAATTTTTTTAATTTTTTGAGATAGTTTCTAAATTTGTACTAGTTATACAGCGAAATTTTGGGACTAAGAAATTTTGTACAAAATATTGCTTGTGCACCAGTTTTATTCTAAATTTGGCCAAATTTTTATTCATCTTATCGGCAATGCCAAGTTTTCGTTAATTACACATTCTAAAAGTTATTGTTGCTTTTTATATTCATTACATAATAATAATAATATAAAGGTCCAAAGCTCTTTTTCAAATACTTGAATTTATCATCTATTCATCATTGTAGGCAATTTTTTTAAATAAACAAAGATTATAATAAAAAAATAATTAATTTCCAATTGCAGGTCCAACAATTTCATCCCACAGATTGAAACCACAAACAGTTAAAACGATTTTGTATGGATTCAAATAAAATCCAATAGTAAAATGATGCTTAATAGATATAATAAGTCAAACGAAACCATGCGTGCAATTTATTTTCCAAAGTTTATTTATTATTTTCATACATTAATATGCAATCCACATTCAAAATACTATTTAACCAGTCTTTAACCGGTTTTTGTTCCTAAAAAGACCAGTCACCGAGACTAGAAAAATAGAGATCACACTACAAAAATTTTTATATAAAAGTTGATTTGCAAAAATCTGCATATAAATCCCCAAATTTGATTAGCACAGTTTGTACGCGAAAATCGAATTTCGGGACATTGGACGTTTCAGTCTTAATATAAAAACTAAAATTTTTAAAATCCAATCTTAAAAAAAAAAAAACATTTTTATTTTATTTATTTTATTTAATTAAAAATTTTAAAATCCAAAATTAAAAACAATGTCATTGCATCGTCATTTTGTTGGTAGACCATCAATAAATCGTAAAATTTCGCATCCATTTTATAATAAGAAGGGGAAAAAAATTTTTTACAATAACAAAGAAGAAGAGGATGATGGTTTTGATAATTTTGAGAATTATAAAATCAGTGATGATAAAAAATTTGATCACATTGAGGAATTTTATGAATTATTTCCTGTTGATGATAAGGTAAATTATAAGTTACTTAATTATTAATTTCCTACAACTTTCTAAAACTTTCTATTATTTTATAGTCAATGTCTATAATGGAAACTGCAGAAATTTTATCACAATATTTATGGAATGGTAAATTTTCTTCTCCTGTGAAAGAAAGATTAAAGAATGGTGGTGCAACTGTAATAGACATTGGGTAAATTGATTGATTTTAATTGAATCATCAATCTAATAATCATGAATTAATTATAATTGTTTTCTCAGATGTGGACCTGCAACTTGGTTAACGTTTATGGCAGAAGAATTTCCAAAATCAACATTTGTTGGGATTGATATAGTGATTGATTTGAATGATTCTAAGAAAGAATTACCAGGGAATTTAGCATTAATTAGGCATGATATACTTGATGGTTTACCATTTCCAGATGACACTTTTGATTTTGTTCATCAAAAACATATGACACAGTCACTAACAATTGATCAATGGTCTTTTGTAATTGATGAACTGATACGTATAACTAAACCTGGTGGTTGGATTGAATTTGTGGTAATTATTAATAAACATAATAATGATGTGATAAAGAAATATGTTTATATTATTAAATTTGTTATTCATTATTATTATTAGGAAAATGAAGTCATGCCATATGGCTTGGGTCCAGTGGGGAAAAGATATATGGTTGGATGTAAATAACCATTTAATAAACTGTTTAATACTATTTCTTAATAAGTTCTAACAAATTATCAATTAAATTATAGTCATGAAATTCTATGAATCATGTAATATAGATGGAATAATCCGTGAATCTATTGAACAAAAATTAATAAATGCTGATGAAATAATCGAAATTACTGATCAAGCAAGGAATTTTCCATTAGGTGGTGATGGTATGGCTGGCGAAATGGTAAATATGTTATTTTATGGTGTTGATGCTAATAAATATTTTATAAATAAACATTATTACATTGCATCATTTAATTATTTAGGTGAGAACAACTATAGTTGGGTCACTA